GCGCAAAATGCAAACAAAAAGCTAAATAAAAATAAAAATAAAATAAACTTAAAAAATAGCAACAGGAGAGTGCGACAAGTTTGTTGCCTTCTTATACAACAGCCGCGGCGGAGAAAATAGAGCAAGCATCGGAATTCGAATTACATTTCGATTTAATTGTACAAAATTAAATTTCAATTCGGTTCATATTTATAGAACCACATTACAAAGTAAGATTAAGGAGCAACTATAGAAGATGTAAGATCAGATTTCATTCAGAAAGATGACACAAGAACACCTAGGATACGGAAATTCAGTAGAACAGTTGTACACTTGACTGATTTCAATTTTTAGCATTTATTTAACCAAATGACACATGGATAATTAATATGAAATGATTTGAAACGGGTTTGATAAAGCAGGGCGAATTTGTTTCTATAAAAAGAATTAATAAACCGCCAAGATTTCAAATTTTTTCAGGATGAATAATAAAAAATTATGAATGTGTACATTATGGGGTCTCACTTCTCTCCCCAGAAAGAGCATCATAATTCCCAATTCTCGTTAGTGTTAGCCCGTACACCTGTTCTCAGCGAAATGTTTTTTCAGCTGTTAGCACATTTTCTATCATCATCATCATCCAATGCACTATGCAAATTATTAAATTTAAAAAACATATATATAAAAAACAAACCTTAATCGCTGCTCAACGTCTCGTATACGTAACGCCTGACGCCGCCGCCTCCCCGACATGCTCTTATTTTTCATCAATTATCAATTCATCTATTTAACTAAATGTTTAACGAAAAAAAATAACGTGGCTCAGTAGTTCACGTCGTATTTGCATTATTTTTTTTTATTTATTTATTTGTAGCTTTGCTGGTCTTGCCTTTGTTACTGCCAAGTGGTAGTTGCAGGTCTCTCGGTCGTTTCGAATGTGCTAATTAGTGGAAAACGTTTATAGCTCTGCCCGTGTGTTTGTGTGCTTGAAGGGCAGCTGCCCCCACTGTGCAGGTCCACTGTACGAGGTGGTGGTCGGTTGGTGTGTGCCAAACAAACAAATGAGGAGCAGCACATCTCGGCGGCAATCGAACATAGTGTTTGTTGAAAGTTTTCATTCCATTGCTAACCATCTGTCAGCACGCATATAGTGGCTACGATAGACACTCGATAGAGTGGATGGGTTGAAGAGGAGCAGCTGAGATCACCTAAAATTCTAAAGTACGAATTTGGTGAGGAATGTTGAAGACCAAATTATAGACTTAATGCAGAGTTGTTCCGATACATGTCCCTAGACCAAATGAAAAAAAAAATATATAAAAAGTTTAGGCAATATAATTTTATATTAAAGTACTGTTTACTACGGCGAGTACCAACTGTGGTCTTGGCTGTTTGCATTTTATAAAAAGTGAGTTTAGGTTCGGCGACACTTTTGTAGGGTGCACAGCAGTGTGCAACTGTGATCGACATTGTTGTTGTTGTTTATTTCTCATCTGCATCTGCTTCGCCCTCTCTTCTTCGCGCACTCTTGCTCCCTTATTTAGCCACATCACGTATACGCCACCGATGCAGATCCCTCTTACTGTTATCAGGTCTTTTTAGAGCGTGCTCTCGGTCCACAACAAAAGGGTAAACAACTCTGCTCGGTCAACACTCATTATTCATTATTATTTTTACTTATTGTATTTTCCTCTATGCTTTTATTATAACTTTTTTCCTTTTTTTTTTGTGGCTTTGTGTGAAGAGGGAAATGTGCGCTTTGGCTATATTTAGTTGTATTAATTGCGGCTGACCCAATTTGTGGTTCTTGCACACAGGCGACGCCTTGTGTAATTGCTTAGAGCAAAAAATAACAACGGCAGCGAACAACAGCAGCAGATAGAATAGTGAGAATATAAAATATACTCTAGAGATATAGATACCATAGCATGGCAGCAAATATAGCTGGCTATAGCTATAGTGAATGCAGATGTACAGAGGACAGCCAAGAAGAACACATGATGGGTTTATTTTGGTTGAACGCCGTCCGTCGACGTCGACGACGACGACGAAATCAATTGAAATTGAAATTTTCAGGCGAAAGAATGAAATCAAATATAAACCGAAATAAAGCCAAAACTGTCAGTTGGAAAGGTAGCATCGTCTAGTCCACGGACGAAGAAGGGGGTTTTTTGCATTCAGGTTTGCCTGGCAACAGCATTTTTTTTTTTTTGTTTTTCGTCGTCGCAACTTAAATGCCAGAGCAACAGAGAAACAAATGTACAAAAGCAACACGCCATACGTACATAGCATTTATGTAGGGTTTATGTACTTGGATTCGTGCATAAAACTAGCCTCGGAATAACAAAGCCTAATACCATAGCTCATGGTTCCGCGAGAAAAGTTACAAAACTCTACCCAGAATGGAAGTTATTAGCTGTTGTTATTGTGCTGCTTTTACATTGCAGGCTAAGCGTAAAGAAAGTACATTTAGTGCAATAAAACTCTTAAGTATAATTAATTATTAATAGAATAATTTAAGTGTTGTAAGTCCTATAAGTTGACTTAAAATACTTAAATTATTCTATAAATATTTTGAATTAGGATATATACTTATTTAAGAGTTACTATTTCTGTAACCGCAATTGTCTGCTGATTTGTACATAGTATGTACACATTATGCACATTAGTATGTACATATGTACATAAAAATACATGCTTCCACATAGACAAACATACATACATTTATATTTAGTTTTTTCGTTTGTTGTCTCTTCAACTGCAGTTTCTTTCCCTTTCTACCATAGAGTATTCCTTTGATTTCTATTTATTTGTTCTTACCTTTTTATTTATTTATTTATTTTTATTTGTTTTTTTTCTAATCTTTTTATTTATTATTTTTTCTTACCTTTTTATTTATATACATATTTTTATTTTTTGTCTTACCTTTTTATTAAAAAAAAATTTTTTTTTTCGAACTTTTTTATTTATTTGTTCTTTTTACTTTTTTTTTATTATTTTTTCTTCCTACCTTTTTATTTAATTATTTTTTATTATTATTTTTTTTTGCTTGCCTTAAAAGCCGGCTTTATTTTTATTTACGCTTGTTTCTTTACTCTTGGCTCTCTTTGCATTTTCTCTTCATCGGCATTCGGCGTTTTCATTTTCATCATCATCATCACCAATTTCGTTGTGTTGTTGTGCGTGCGCCGTGGAATGGGGAAAAAGTTGTATAAATTTATTTTTATTTTCAACAAATATAGGATTGGATATAGGTACATAAGCGACAGCGACAATGCCGTCGTTGTTCAATTTTCCGCTGCTTTTGCTAAAATTAAATATGGTTAAGCAGCACCAGCAGCGGCAGCAGCACCACTAAAAAGCTACGAAAAAAAAATTATAGTAAAGCCTCCCGCATTGTGAAAGCTAAAAAATTATTTAAAAAAAAAAAAAAACAAAAGATTGGATTGCAGATTTCTTTAAATAAGTTTAAATTACGTTTATCAGCAGTGTAAATATATTGCACAAAAATAAGCAAAGATGGCAATATCACACTTTTTAAATTTATTTATTAAATATATAGTCTTGCTATTTAGAATTTTTTATATAATTTAACCAAAGTCATAATAGTCTTTGTTGCATTTTAACAGCTTGTCACCTTTTGCGAGTGCACACTGTACAATAATATTCCTGGCTGCAGTCGATGTAGTTATTGTTGCTGCTGTCTTGATTGTTTTTGGAATATTTGCGCACGCCTTTTTTTTTCTCAGTGTTTGTGTGTGTGTGTGTGCTTGTATTTTGACTTCTTGTGTATTTCCTGCTCTACCGCTCGCCGCTTTGGCTCTCTTCCTAGTGCCACTCTTGCCGCCCCCCTTTTGCCCTCCCATTTTAGTCGCACGTGCCGCTATTTCATTAGTATATTTCGCTTTAGTTATGTCTTTGTTTTAGCTGTCGCTTTTTAATTAATTTAATTATGCATTTCATAAAAATTGAAGTATTGCTTTTGATATTTATCTATTTTTTGTAGTATTTGTTTATTTTTTATTTATTATTTCCCTTTGGGTGATTGCTTATTTGTTTTGACTCCATTAAAAACCACAATTCAATGGCTTTACAGTGGAATCTTTTTACTGAACTCAATTTAAACAAATACCATGTCGTCTTTAATGTGCCATTTTATTTATTTATAAACATTTAGCGGATTTGTAACAAAAATACAGATAGCACTTGTGAGTCACTTGGCGCTTAAGAGACAGAGAGTGAGCAAGCCAAAGAGAGGTTTTAAAGAGAAGACCGAAGAGAGAGTTCGAGCGAGAGCTTAAGCCTAGCCCAAACAGCTGTTTGTTGTGCCTTATTTGTGTTGTTTTTTGTGATCCTTTTCGAAAAGTTGTTTATGTTGTGAGCAAAGAGGATGAGAGAGGGGGGGTTGTGTGAGTGCGAAAGAGAGTAAACTGGCCTCCATGGAGCAAACATTTCAGCGTTTCTTTTTGTTGTGATTTTTTTCTACCATTTTATAAGTATTATTTTTGTTGTAGCTGACTTTTCAATAAATGGCAATGTCATGCGCGAACGCACAACATTCACATACACATACAGTGCACGCTTGATACAGTAGCCAATATATCGTATTTACATTATGTTTTCAAGAATCCCGTAATAATCCAAATAAGGTTAATTTCTTGACTAGTAATCAGCTGTTTTTTCAAAATGACGTAATTAATTGATTAAAAATGTACACATTAGAACGTTCACTGTATGCCAGTGTATACACTTTCAGATGCATACTCACAAGCTTGTTTACGACGCTTTGACTATGCTTTGGATTTTATTTATTTTTGCTTTATTTTATTTATTTTGTTTTTTCCTACTCGCTTTGCCGGCTCTCTCTCTTAGGCGCTCGCTGTGGCTCTGGCACAATGAAAGCTTTGTCTGAGAGAGCGGGCGTACGGTTTACGTTTACGCCATTTGTGTGTGTGTGCGTGAGCGAGCGAATTGAGGGTGTATGTATGTGTGCGTGTGTCGGTTTTTCAATTGCGTTTACCGCCGCTTCGCTTCATTCGTTTGTCTGCTCGCGTGCTTTACGGTTCAAGATTAACAAAAAGTCGAATTTCCATTCCGAAATCCTGATTCTGAATCTAGATGAGAATCAAACTTTTATGAAATCAACTTTTAGATATTACAACTTCTCGAACATTAATTTTTTTTGAGTGTGTAACAAATACCATTACCAACAGCAGCAACAACAACGACGCCGAGAACGCCTTGTATGGAGGTATGTGTGAGAGCTCAAAGGAGATGCAAAAAAAATAAATAAAAATAAAAAGTAAACTTTGGCTAAACAAACCGAAAAATAGACAATAAAAATAACAGTGTAAGTGTGTGTGCGTGTGCGCGTGAGTGTATGTGTGTAAAGCAACAATAACAATAAGAAATTCAAAGATACAGTGACAGAGAAACGGAAAAAGAGAAAGAGCGAGTCACAGGCAGATTACAATTTAAATTTTAAATTGCTTTTTTGTTCAATGAAAATACACTTCGACTTGGCAATTTAATTTTTCTCATTTTGTTCGTGTTATTTTTTTTATTTTGCGTAATGTCTTGACATTCTCCGATTTCATAATCACGCCTAAACGCAGCTACTAAATGCCAGGCGGCGTCGGCGGCGTTGTGTGTATAAAAATAACAACAACTTAAAAAGAAAAAGCAAAAGAAAAAAAAAAATGCCAAAGAAAACCACGTTGAAATTTCGGCCAGCGACGACGTCAGCGCGTCGTTTCTCTTTGGTACACTCTCTTTTGGCGGCTCGCTCTCTTTATCCAAAGCAGTTCTAACTGCTTTTCTGGTACAGTGAAAGCTTACTCAGCGAAACTCATGAAATCAAATGGGTTTTGTTGCAGAGTATTTGCTGTACCACACTACCCTCCTCTGGCTGTAATAATAAAATATTTCATCATAAATAATTATGGTTTAAAGCTCGCTTTTAAAAAAAGAATATACATATGCATGAAGAAAATAAAAAATAAATCAAAGAAATTACACATAAGGAATAAAAAAAGTGCCTTGTTCCTACTTTATCGCTGTTCCTCTCTCTCTCTCTCACCCTGACGCTTTCTCGCACACACACACACGTGCAATCACATTTGTTTTTGTTTTTTTAAGAGTCGCGAAAAAGCTGACAATAAAAATAACAATAAATACAACAACCATAATCGAGACAACAACAACAATGATCGGCAATTATAAACGCCAAAAGCGTTTTTCTAGCGGCCTTGTTGCGTTTTTCAGTGTATACAAAGGGGGGCTAGAGAGGGGAGAAAAACAGCAAAGTACAAACACAACTGAACAATATAAATAAACTCAAATCCGCACCCATATAGATTTTTGTTGTTATATTTTATTTATATTTGTTTTTGCATAGTTTTCTGATCGTAAAATTAAGCGTATGTTTTCTATATATATTATATATTATGCTTCTTAAAAAGTTTTTATGAGATATTTTTAAGACTTTGTTGTATAATTTATTATTTTATTTAACTTAAAGTGTCATTTTATTATTTAATTTTTGAGCCTATTGTTAATATTTAATTTATACGCCCTTTAGCAAATGTTTTTTGTACATAAACTTCCTCGAGTTGCTTCTGTTCGATGATTTCTTGTGACCCAAGCGTATACGTAATGTGCAAGCAAGGCAACTGCCGAGCAAGAGAGTGCCACACAAAGAGAGACAGAGAGAGAGAGAGAACTCACACATATGGGCACCCATTGATACCAACACTAGTGCAGGCGACACACAAACATGGCAGCCACAACGTCAGGGGGCATTACGTATACGCCGCGTGGTTGTCGCCATCGCATTTCTTCTTCTACTTCTACTTCTTCTGCGGCTTCTGCCGTTTTGTTTCTATTTGTATTATAGTCGGACGAGAAAATTCTGAAATATATAAGTATATAGTATATATTTTAACAGATTTTTTACTTTATTTGTAAACCAAAAAAGAAAATAATATAAAAAAAATTACGAAACTAAGATAAAAAGAAACAGGGTTTGAAAGAAATTTATATGTTTTTACAAAAAAAAAAAAAGTATATTCCCAACTCACCTTTGTTCCAAGTTATTTAAATTAATTTCAAATACGTTTGTTTATATTTCAACACACACATACAGGGAAAGAGAGAAGGGTTGAGTGTGTGAGAGAGGGAAGGCCTGGGCGAGAATTGGGGAGGTACTAGATGGGTCTATTGCCGCCATAAGTTTTGTTGCTGTTCTCTCAAAAAACGCTTGCCCGGTGGCTTGCTTTTCCTTTTTTCGCTATGTTTTCACTTCTTTTTTTCCCCATTAGCTTTTTCTTTTGCCTTGGTTCTTCTTATTTGTATTTTATTTATATTTTTTGTTGCTTCTCTTTCTCTTTGTTGCTGTTTCTGTTATCTTGTTGATGGCCGGAAGTATGCGAAAGCTTTCGCGCACTGCCTGCCGCCGCCGCCAGCTGCCTCTCTCTTTCTACAGAAAACTCGTCTCCTCTCTTATTGCCTTTGTTGTTACGTGAAATGCTTTCAAAGCTGTTGCAATGTTCCTTTTTTTTCTTTCTTTTCTTTTCTTTATTTGCCTATTGTTTATTGTAAATTTTGTATTGTAGACAGGCAAACACAAACAAAGCGTTGTAATTAAAGCAATTACATTTATATTCAGCCATCGATTGTGCATTGTGGGAGAAAGGGAGAGAGGATCAAAAAGATAGGAGAGGAGAGACTGCCGGCATCCCACTCTCTTGCTCTATATTTATTTATTTATTTATTGTTATTATTCCACATTTTCTCTGTCTCTCACGCTTTTGTGTGTTGTTATATTTATTAAAAGAGGAAACAACTCATTTAACATTTTTTCCATAGATTTTCACCGTTTTCCCGCCCCTCTTTTCACAACAACAACAGCAACCACAATGAAAATATGCTGGCTGTCAATTATTATTATTATTATTGTTGTTGCTAAACTGGAGGAAGCGCCATTTGTTGATGTGTAGTATTATATAGTATATAGTATTATTGAACCAGTCGCACGCCGACTACTCCACGAGGTTCATTTTTCCCCATTAGAAGATAGTCGCAGTAGTAGTAGTAGTAGCAGCAAGGGGTAGCAAAAAGGGATCATGTTGTTGGCGGTAAACAACTACTGTGAATAAAAAAAAACTGGGCCACGAAAATTATGCAGAAAAAGTGTTGTTTAGGGTTCCATTAACCAGTGCAACGATATGGCATCAACGTGGTTTTACCAAGATAAACAAAGCCTGAAACTTAAATCTGCTTCGAATAAATCAATATAATTGATTGATAATCGTCAAATAGTATTATAATAATAATATAATGCTTTAAGAAGCCAGCAGTTAGTTTATTATATATTTATAATTTATGTGTTTGTTCTAATCATTTTCAAAGGGTATCAGCCAGTTGTAACGAATAGTAGGGGAGAACTTAACGCAGGGTTAACTTCACTAGTTACTGGGGTGGTTGGTTTATTTTTATTATTATTATTTCTTTCCTTCTGTTTGTGTTGTTTTTTTAACACGCTCTTAAGCATCCGTGTGCCGCATTTATCATATACTATATGTAGTATGTATCTGAATGATTCACTCCCAGAGAGTGCCATCATCGGCCATCCTCCTCGCCGCTGTGTAAGTTTTATATGGCGCGGATTCATTAGCGTAGCGTGGCGGCTGTTTTTTCTACGTTTTGATTCTTTTCTTTCTTTTTTTTTAACAGGCAAGTTTTGCTCAGGTACAGTTATCGCTGCTTTTGTTGTTGTTGCCGGTTAATTGGCTTGGAGAAAGAAGAAGAAAAAGCCGAAATGCAATACTTGCACTCTCTCGCCATGCATCCTCTCTCTTTCACTCTTGCATTTGATTTTGTAGGCGGCTCAGTTGACATTTAAGATGGGCGGCGAGCTGCTTCCTCTACCACTTTCCACTTGGCGCGGAGGAAAGGTCCACAGGTCACAGTCAAAAGCGCGACGTTTCTAGAACGACACTAATCTCAAAGCAAAGTACAGTGCGACCGCGCAAAAAAGAACCTTTTCAACTTAAAGTAAGGGAAAGAGAAAATCTTAACATCTAAATCTAAACCCTACTTAATATATTGCTAAAAAAAACTCAACGAATTGAGTTATATGTTTTGGGTTCATGTTCTCGAAGCTTGACTGTATTAAGCAACAAAACGAACGGCGTCTCTTGCGCGCGCTCTCTTTTGCTCTCTTTCGAAAACAAACAAAGCTGAGGCAAAGCCAATGGAAAGCACAGATAAACAATTCAGCTCGTGAGAGCATGTGGCATGTATCGGCATTTTTTTTCGATACAAAGAGAGAGAGAGAGGGAAGAAAAGAGAGAGTTTCCAGTGTTGCATTGTGCAAATTTGTTGTTGCTGCCATATTTGCTAATTAATTATGTACGCCAAAAGGCAACTTGAAAATTACAACTGACACCAAACCCGCCGGTCCACCGCCCGCCAAATACACCTTCCCATTCCCTCTTTCTTATCGCAACCACGTTGTTTTGCTCTCTCCCGCTCTCTGACTTTTATTTGCCAATCTGGCTCTCTTGCGACGCTGCAAAAAAAAAATATTCGTACGCGTCTTGTTATTATTGTTTTGTTGTTGTCCAAAATAGCGACACATAAAAAAAAGGGAGAGAGAGAGAGGGAATAAAAAAAAAAGTTGCCAAGACAACGAAGGTAGGCGCAAAAAATAACAAAAACTGCGTCGCAAGCTTTTAATAAAATATAAATAAATTCCAGCCTGTACTATTTGTGTGGCACGTCAGTGTAATGACGTTGCCATTGACTGCGACGCTAGCAGCGAAGCTGACGTTCGTTTTGGAGGTCAGCAGCGGGAGCTTTTCACAATTTAACTTTTGTTTTTGGTTTTGTTATTATAATTGTTGTTGTTGCTTTTGTTGTTTCATTGATATTGGCTTTTGTTATTGTTCTTGTTGCTCGGTTCTCGTCGCGTTTGTTGTGTTTTCATTTCATTTACGGTTTTGTTGTGGCGCGCACTTTTCCTTCTCTCTCTCTCACTCTCTTTCTCCATGTACCTCTCCCCTCACCTCCCCCACAACCTTGTTGCTATCAATTTTGCACATGCAAAACAATGGCTAATAATCAGGTGGAAAAGGAAATACAGTGAAGCTTAGAAATGAAGTAATCATTTTAAAATAATTTTATGATTATATATTCCTTTTTTTTTTACATTTATTTTTTAATAAATAAAAATGGAAGTTTCACTATTTAAATGTTTATTATGGCTAAATTTAGACTTATAATATTGATGTGGAAGATGTGGAAACTTCGGTAAAATAGTTTTAAGTAAAATTAAAATAAAAAAATAATTAAAATTGAGAAAAATTAAAATCAATATAATCATATTCGAATATTCATATGGTTAGCTCCACTGGATTAGCCTAGTAAAAGTAAATTTTTTGCTTCTTGAACGCGTGCATTTCTCTATTGTTGACTTTTTGTTAGTTTCGAGTTGTTCTTTTTGTTTGGCCCCTGCCTCAAATGAAAATCAATAAATAATAATACACTTTGTTGGCTTTGTTTTCCGACCCCCAAACCCACCAATATACCCGAACTGTCGCTCATTCGATTCGCGTGCCCCAACGACGAATAAGTTGTCCCTCAAGGCAAAATGAATATTTCAGTTAATTAATTGCCAACGAAATGTAATGGCTTTTCTGATGACTAAAAGATGATGGAAGCAATGATGATCTTAATAAAAATTGCTAATCGATGACTTTTTATTACTTAAAAATTAAGGAAGAAACTAAGAAAGTTAAGAAAAGTAAACAAACTAAAAACTAATACTCAACCAAATGACTTATATAATTTTCAAATAATCGAGTAATAACCGAAAAATGTTAATCGATTACTTGCTAATCGATCAGTGATCTTTGAACCCTCATTTTAGTTGCCTCGTTTAAAAATCAAGCCTATCGTTATTTTGGTGAAAAGAAAACACCCCAAATTGGGGGAAAACTATGAGCAAAGTACACAGTAATAGTGCTGATAAGATAATCCACTAATCACTAGTGGAGCAACAGAGAGGGCGAGAGCAAACAGAAAGTGAGAGAGAGAAGGAGGGAGAGGGAGAGTGGGCGTCATAAAAAAATAAACACGCGGAAATTTGAAGCAATATAAAAAACAATTTCTATGATTGCGTAAAATGAGAAAAAAGATACAATTTAGAAAGAGTAAGAGCGACAAGGTATAGAACAGGTTATTACCCCCTAAAGTAGGCAATATAAATTATAAATGTTGAAGGACATTGATTAAACCATAAAAACAGAACCATAAACTATTAATTATGCGCTTCTATTTAGTCACAAAACTCATGAAATGCCAATTTGATGACCGAACAAAGTGCAGCAGTAAACAAAATAAAAAAACACAGAAATTGATCATTTCATCAGTCAATCATTAGATCACCTCCCCAACATTATCGTCATCATCATCGTCATCATTGGTTTTGGCTAAAAATAATGAAATTGCGATACTTGGCCAACTCACCAAAGTTATTTCCAAGGAATTTCAATATTTATAATGAGGCAATAATATTAATAATAATTTATTATTATTATTAGTGAATTTCATTAATTCAAATGGTTGTCAAAGTTATAAATAATCTAGAGATATTACAGTATTAACCTACGATATGTGTAAGCTGTGCCTTTTTTACCCACGAATTTAAAGAAAAAGCCATGGTTTTTCTTTCAAGGTTTTAGCCAATATATTTCTTATTTTATTTATTTATTATTAAAAAATTAATAAATATATTTAATTATTAAATTTCATTGCTTTTCTCTTCTCTCTCCCCGGCAGCATGTCAACAGATAATCCCACACAGTTGCTGACCACCCGCGATTTAAGTCAGCTGCGTGGGCACCTGCAATCGGGCCCAGCGGCAGTGGCATCCACGGCAGTCACGGCATCCGGAACGGCGGCTGTTGTGGCAGCAGCAGCAGCTGCAGCGGCAGCAGCGGCGGCAGCAGCAGCGGTCTCCTCAGTGGCCAATGCACCACATGGATATCGCAATATTGCACCATTGGCCACCATTAGCTGCGGGAGCAGCACCAGCACCAGCACCATTAACACCACCAGCACAGTAGCAGGAGCAGCAGCAGCAGGAGGAGGAGGAACAGGAGGTGGAGGAGTACTTGTACCCACAAGCAATAGCAACATGCCGGCCAGTGCCTCCAAATATGTATTTCTGCAGCACAATCACAATGGCGGATTCACGGCCTACGATGGCTCCACAACGTCAGTCACAACGGCTGCATCTGCTTCATCCTCTGGCAGTGGTGGCGGTGGCAATATAGTGCTCCTTGCCGCCGAACCCCTGGAAATGGGTTCAGCCGATGCCTTGGCTGCAGCAGTGGCTGCCTCCGGCGTTCGAACCACCGATGGAGATGATGGAGAGCTGCGTTCCCTGTCCTGGCTAAACGATAGCAATCTGATCAAGGGCATTGTCACAACCAGTGGTGGTGCTAATGCTGCCACGGGAACGCAAGTGAAACGGGCAATGGCCATCAAGACGGTAGGAGGAGGAGCAACAGCAGCTGGTGCTGCTGCTGTAACAGGATCTTCAGTCAATGGTAATATGTGCCTAGTGAGTGATATAATCGAAGAGGTACCCAACAGTCTCAACGAACCACCCAGTGGTGGTATCGATCAGGCGGATGGTTCGCTATATAGCACCACCACGGTCCACAAGGGTCCCAGCGGCACCACCACTGTGGTGGAGTACAAAGCCAGCAAGTCTGCTGGCCAACAGCAGGGCTATCTGCCAACGTCTACACGAACCACCACGCTGGGCTATATGCCAGTGGTGGTGACCCAGCCACAATCAGCAGTTAGCCAAGCCATAATCTCGCCCATCAAGCAGTCACAGCAGTCCCAATCGCAATCCCAGTCGCAAATCTATGTGACCAGCAATGGAGGAGGGGCAACGGGTAATGACATCTACAAGGGAGGGGCGGCATCATCATCATCGCTGTGTTCACCCACAACCACCAGCAGCAGCAGCAGCAGCAACACCACCACACATCATCCGCACAAAAAGTATCTGCGCGAGAAGATGCATGTCCAGATGGATCACAGCAGTCATGTGGCCTCCACTGTGACGGTGGTCAGTTCGCCCGCCTCCTCCAACAATTCCTCGATCAGTTCTAGTTCCATATCGGGTGGCGGCGGTTCAGGATCCTCGACAGCGGCCGTCAATGGAGGCAATAGTCCGGTGGCCAAGGCCAGCAGTAGCAGTAGTAGCTTTAGCAGTGCAGTTTTTGAGGCCGTTAACTATGCCAATGCCAATGCCAACGCCAACACCAGCAGCAGCAGCAGTTTGAGCCATAACCAAGAGCCATCACCGCCTACCACGAGCGTTGTGACCACCACCACGCTGATCAGTGCAGGATCTCTGGCGCCGGGATATAGCTTTGTGAGCACAACGCCGCATGTCATGTGAGTTTCTACTTTGAGTTCTACATTAGAATTTAATATTTATTTTTTATATTTTATATATTTATTTTTATATTATTTATACTTCATATTTTTATTTATTTATATACATATATATATATTTTTTATATTTTATATTTTTATTTTTTTATTTATTTATTTTTAATTTTTTATATTTTTATTTAGTTATATTTTATATATATTTTTTTAAAATATTTATTTTTATATTTTATATTTAAATTTATTTATTTTTATATGTTTTTATTTTTTATTATATATACATATTTTTTTTTAAATTTATTTTTATATTTTTCGTATATTATATTTTTAATTATTTTTTTTTAAATAATTTAATTTTTATATTTTATTTTATTTTTAAATATTCCCCTTCATTTTTGATTCAAAATTCTATATAAATCGTGGGGTATGTTCCCCGTCTCTCTCTCTTTCAGATCAACACCCGGCCATGTCACCTCCACGGAGACTCCACCTGGTGCTGCCCTGCTGCCTGGAACCTACTATAGCACCAGCAGCAGCAGTGGAGGAGGAGCAGCCACAACAACAACAGCAAACCTTCAGCCACGCAGTCTGCAGTTGGCCAACTCCCCACCACCGCCGCCCACAACGAGTCATGTGAATGGATCCCTGGGTGGAGGAGGCGGAGGAGGAGCATCTGCAGCTGGAGGAGTCAACCTGCGCAGCCCCAACAGCTATACCAGCTATGACAACGAGGACTCGTTAAAGGATTTCGATCTGGTGGTCAGTTCGCGGATGCACACAAGCACGCCCCAATATACGGTCTCCAAGGGAGGCTACAGCAATGTGAATGGCGCATCAGGTGGGGCAGGAGGAGGAGGTGGAGCCACCACGCCGCAGAAGCAAAAGCATCCCAACAACGTGCCATATGACCCGCTAGTGCATACCAACAATAAGCCGCCATATAGCTTTAGGTGAGTGACTGTCTGCGAGGGAGTCTTTATAAATTGTTAAAAATAAGCTACAATTTTCAAGTTTTTAAAAATATTATAATTTATTTTAATTTATTTTATTTACAGTTCCCTGATCTTCATGGCCATTGAAAGCTCAAACGAGAAGGCTCTGCCCGTCAAGGAGATCTACGCCTGGATTGTTCAACACTTTCCGTACTTTAAGACAGCGCCCACCGGCTGGAAGAACAGTGTCCGCCACAATTTGTCGCTGAACAAGAGCTTCGTGAAGGTGGAGAAGGCACCCAATATGGGCAAGGGTTCGCTGTGGCGCGTTGAGCCCCAGCAGCGCCAGAATCTCATCCAGGCGCTAAACCGTTCCCCCTTCTTTCCCAATTCGGCGGTGGACAAGATCAGTCCCTCGCTAAAGAGTCCCAAAGACTCGGTTTACGATAGCCTAGATGGCAGTGTAGCCACGGGTATGCCAGCTTCGGTAGCACCAGGAGCAGTGCCAGCTGCTGCTGCTGCTGTGTCGCTATCCTCCACACCCTCGAAAAGCAATGGCCTGGCGCTGGCCAGTCAGGTGACAACGAATGCGGCCAGGCCGCACAGTCCCAATGGAGGCGGAGGCGGCGGTGGAGGTGGGAGTGGCAGTCATGCCCGTTTCGATCCCAAGCTTTTCCCCAATTTGTGCAATCTTTTTGGCAATATCCGTGATGATTTGACAGGACAACAGCAGTCGCTGCGCGAGGATGAACTCTCTGAAGATTATCACAACAACAACAACAACAACAACAATATTAATAATAATAATAACAACAATAACAGCAACAGCAAGTACAACTATGTGGGTCTAAATGCAGGCAGTGGCCCAGCCGGAAATGGAACTGTAAGCGGAAACGGCGGCCCAGCTCTTAATGGCGGAGTAGGAGGAGGAGTTGGTCCTCCTCCGCCGCCTTCGGATGGCATCAATTTTGAGCAAATGGCCCGAGACTGTGGAGCTGACAGCATGGACGATGTCCATGCGGCGGCGGCTTTGCTTTGCCTCAAGCACGAACCAAAGGCCTTTAGCAGTGATTCCTTTCAGAATGGGTAAGTGTCTACCTAGTTGGGGAAAGAAATTAGACTCTCTTTCTCTCTCTCGCCCCTTAATTATATCTATTTTTACCTCTGATTTTCCAGCAGCGCCGCTCCTGTAATTACAAGTTCCCCCAGCGAGGATCACACCTACTCGGCGGGTGGCAACAGCAATGCCGACAGTGGCTCCTCCACGCCAGTCACCAATGGGAATGGCCTCACCACCATCAGCAGTGTGGTCTCCCAGGCGGCGGCGACGGCTGGCTCCGATAGCAACTGTGCCAGCTCGGATGCAGCCTACGATAGCAGTGAGGAGAAGTAAGTTTAAGAGATTTTTTAAGCAAAAACCAAGTACTAAAGAGGGTTTCTTTCAATAGTCACAACATCACGCCCGAGGAACTGGATCAGCAGCGACATCGCGATGGCGTGGATGCCTTGCTGTCGCTGTCGCGCTCCTCGAATGTGGATTATGGTTCGCATTATCATAGCAATGGCAGCAGTGGCAGCAGCCAGGGATCTCCGCGCAAGCGACCAGCCAGCCAGAGTTTGGAGGAGGAGCAGCAGCAGCAACAACATCGCGACCAGCAGCAGCAGCAGCAGCATCAATTTGGCAGCCTTCAAGCCATCTACACAAATGGCAATGGCAGCAAAATGGCTTTGCTTAGCAGTGCAGCGGCCAATGTGGCTTTGGCACAACACCAGCAGCAGCAGCAGCAACACCAGCAGCAGCAACACCAACAGCAGCAGCAGCAGCAGCAACAACTCCACCCCGAACTGTATAGCTACCCGGCTGGCATGTATTTGGGCAACCTCAATCACTGCCTGCCCGCTGGAGGAGGAGGAGGAGGAGGAGGAGCAACAACTGGAAGCAACAACAACAGCAATAATAGCAGCAGCAATGCTGGCATGTTGCCGCAACATCTAAGCGCTGCCATGGCTGTGGCAGCAGCAGCAGCAGCGGCAGCGGCCAGCAAAAACAAGGTGAAGCCTTTGAGAGGGCTGCGTACCAAAATTAAGCGCAAGTCCGCCTGGATGCGGTGAATATGGCGACAACAGGTTCGAGGCAGCAGCAGGTGGACTTGATGCTAAAAGCGAAGAATTGTTCAAATCACAGAGCATTTAGACTACAAGTTATACCAATAATATATAAATATATATATATATATATATGTATATATATATTATATATATGTGTATTTATATTGATGGCTCTTGCTTAACTTTTAAAAATTTCCCTTAAATTTCTTATGTTTTGTCTGATTTATACTTGTTTTTTTTTTAAGTGTACGTTAGGTGTTTTCTTTATGTGTTTTTCTTCCACTTTGTTTGCGGTTTAATTTAATTATTATTTTTTATTTTATATAATCGTTTTTTTTTTTTAATATTTTAATATTAGTGTTAACTATATTTCGACTTGATTTAATATCTACTTTACTTTCTTAGCCATTTCCTAGCTGCAATTTCGCTATAAGTACATTTTTAACAACAAATCAAAACTATATATATATATTTATATATACCAGAGTGAAAAGTAAAACCTACAAATGAGAAAAGCTAAGAAAACCCCCGACTAAATAATGAAAAGGCTTCAACAACAGATTTTAAAAATGCATTAAATGTCATTTTTTTGTATGTTATTTCGGGACACAAAAGGTTAATACTATATATATATATACAAACATATATCAAAGCATACATACAAATTGAGCCAAGTAAGGAAAATCCATGAAAAGATATATATAAAAAATAAATAATAATAAATAAGGAAAAAAGAGCAAGAAAAGCGTAAGAAAAGCGCAGGAAAAGCAAAAAAACAAAGAGCAACAAGAACTAAATATGTAAACAAGTTTTTTTTTTTATTTCTGTTCAGGATCTAAATAATTATATAGAACGAGAGTTAAATATATATATAGAGAAAGAAGAAACTTAGATATTAACTTAGGCCAAGCACACACACATTTAGCGCCTTAAACATTGAGTCCTTTTTAGCTACAAAAAAAAAACAAAAATAGAGAAGAGACGACACATTTGTTGAATTGTTTGAACTTCTTTGTTATAATATATATATATATATATATATATATATATATATTCTATATCTATATATAGCCCAGTAAACCCCACTCAAGCAAAATGTTAAATCAAAGATATTTAGTTGATAAGCCCCCAAAAAAACACACACACACACTTATACACAGACTTACTTGTAAGCTCCAATTTTATGGTTACTTAGTTGAAATATGCTCTAGACATTTGTTAAAACGAGAAAACGCCAATTTTAGTTTAATGCAAACATAATTAAATTAAGCAAATGAATCCCGAAAGACCCTCAGGATCCACATGGGATCCACAAGAGAAAATACTTATTACAAAAGGACGAAAGAACTTGACACTTCATGTACCTTTTTATAGCAAAAAAAGCAAAGGAAAAACAAAAGCAAAGATCGCATTAAAGATATATATATGTATATCTGGATATATATATATATGTATAATGAAATTAATAATAACTGTTTATGTCAAAGAAAATACCAATTTGCTAGTTGTTACAAAACCAAGGAAAATCAAGGGAAACCCTAGAAAAAAAACCCAGGATAAACGAGGCAAAATCAGGGCAAGCCCAGGGAAAACCCATAAACACAAGCAAAGAAAGTGATGGTATTTGTTTTCTTTATCTTTTTTTTTATATTGTGACTAAAAAGTAGAGAAGCGAAAACAACAAAATAACTGTATACTTAGAGCCTATCCCCCTCAGCCTGGTAATCCCCAATCCTAAAGCCCCTCCTCGCACGACACACGCACACCCTACAAAAACACACACACACACACACACACACACAGTGAAAGACAATCGCCAGGGTCGTGCGCTGTTGTCGCTTAATTTTAATGAAATTCTATGCAAGTACACAACCACAGCAATAGCAGATATATATATGGTTATATATATATAAAAAAAAACCCTTAGAGAGACCCTACAGATAAGCTAATTAACCAGTTTTGTTAAAGTGTTTTTTCTGCTAATTTTTAACTATTTTATGGCATCATTATTATTATTATGATTATTATTATTATTATTATTGATACTATATATTATTATTATTATTATTATTATTGATTATAAACAACCTTTTTTTGCGTACCAAATACACAGACCAATCAAAATGTGACATATTTCTTAACCTTTAAACTTGACTTGTTTATTTATTTTCGTTTTTATATTCGACTTTGGGATCAAGTTGTATATAGCTGGTAGTTGTATGTACATTGAAGTAGTTATAGGTAATATATAGAGAGATTGGATTCTGTTGAACTATTGTAAGTATAAGTGCCTGCCTGCCTGCCGCCGTCGCCGCCGCCGCCGCCGCCTGTCTTTCCTGGACTTGTAGAGCTTTGTTGCCAATTCCCATACCTTACTATATTATAAAAAGATTTGTTTGTTAACCTCGTCTGTTGGCTTGAAGCCGAGGGCCGCCTTGCTTTAGCCTCTAGAGAAAGTCTAGAGAAAAACACACAAAAAAATGTACAGGGTATCGAAAACATTTCCCAAAACAAGTCTCTCTTATATCAGCCTGATCAGTGTCTCAGTCTCTCTCTCTTTCTCAGTCTCCCTCCAAAGGTTTCAACTAGCGCCTGTGTTTAAGTCTCTGAGAAAACAAAAGCCTCTACAAATATTACACACACTAAAGCAAATCAAAAACAAAAAACAAAACAAAACATACATTATATTTATATATATATACATTAGCATAAATATGATATTATGTAGGAAATAAAGCAAAGATAGGACAAAAAACAACAAAATGTTAACCCGTATTTTTTTAGACCTAACATTTTTCTACTTTTTGGACAACGTGCAAAGCGAAACAAAACAGAAACCAAAAAAACCAAAAAACGAAAAGCAAAAAGCAACAAAATACAAATTGCAACAAATTATATTATATTATGGTTTTTAGTTGTTGCTAATTTATAGAATAAAATAATACAAAGAACACGACCTAAGTTAAGGCAAGGACAGATTTGGGTCTGATCCTTTGGACCTGTATCTTTGTGTATGAAATACAATAAATAAATTACTCTCCACCCATCTGTTGATATCGAGCAATGCGAGTTTGTTTTCAATATAAAAATGCCTTTAGGTATTTTTTAAGAGAATTTACTTTATTAAATCATAAACTTTTAAACAAAAACGGCCTGTAAACGTCATCTGTTGGTATTTTTCTGGAGCTTAGCCAACAACCCGATAATAATTAAAACCAATTTTACAGTTAAATTAAACTATTTTTTCTAAATTTCAAACTTTTTTTTCGGATTTTTAATTTTTTTTCTAAATTTTTGAACATTTTTCTGAATTTTTAAAATTTTTTCTGTATTTTCTACATTTTTTCTGAATTTTTAAAATTTTTTAAAATATTTTTTATTATTTTATTTAACTGCCAAATTTGAATTTGAATTTAACGACGATCAGTTTCAGTGTGCCCAGGTGCATTTGTAAAATAACACCTAAATTTGGATTGGAAAGGTTTAAGTCTCCGCTAACTTGCGCCGGCTCCTAAATGGTTTGAAACTTGGACTTTTTATAACAGTTTATACCAGTTTTCAGTTGCTTGCTGCTGATTTCTGTTCGCCTGTTACCCCAATTTGGGAAACGGCCAAATTTGTATGGAAATTTTTGGAAATTTGGATGGGCTGCCGTAGGGATGTTGTTGTAAAGGGGTTGTTGTTGCAATCAAGTGGTTGTTGTCGGCAACAAATAGGTATAAATGCATAAAATGAAATATAACAGATATTCAAAAGGTTTGAGTCTCCGCTTACTTGCGCCGGCTCCTAAATGGTTTGAAACTTGGACTTTTTATAACAGTTTATACAAGTTTTCAGTTGCTTGCTGCTGATTTCTGTTCGCCTGTTACCCCAGTTTGGGAAACGGGCAATTTGCATGGAAATTTTTGGAAATTTTGATGGGCTGCTGAAGGGATGTTGTTGTAGAAAGGTTGTTGTTGCCATCAAGCTGTTGTTGTCGGCAACAAATAGGTATAAATGCATAAAATGAAATATAACAGTTATTCAAAAGGTTTGAGTCTTCGCTAACTTGCGCCGGCTCCTAAATGGTTTGAAACTTGGACTTTTTATAACAGTTTATACCAGTTTTCAGTTGCTTGCTGCTGGTTTCTGTTCGCCTGTTACCCCAGTTTGGAAAGCGGCCAAATTGAATGAAAAATTTTGCTCACTTGCATCAGTGATGCTCATGGTCATCAGTGATGCTCATCTGGCTATATTGCAATATTGGGGGGGCAAAAAATCGGGGTTAATGGCAGTGATGCTCATGTGCATCAGTGATGCTCTTCTGGCTATATTGCAATATTGGCAGTGATGCGCATCTAGCTATATTGCAATATTGGGTGGCAATAAATTCTGGCTTAATGGCAGTGATGCGCATCTAGCTATATTGCATTATTGGGGCAAAATGGCATCTCACTAACTGCCAGTGATGCTCATCTAGCTATTTTGCTATATAGCTCATAACTCGGCCAAAAACGCATGAAATTGAATTCTGAAAGCTGTTCTGAGTTGCCCTTTCTATGCTTAACAAAACTGCATACTCAGTTTTGCTAAAATACTTACCTATAAAAATGTGAAAAACACAACTCGGCCAAAAATGCATAAAATTCAAAACCTAGTATGTAGTTTTGTTAAGCTCAGAAAGGGCAACTCAGAACAGGTTTCCAAATTGAATTTCATGCGTTTTTGGCCGAGTTATGAGGGTTTTTTATAAATTATAGGCATCTCACTAACTGCCAGTGATGCTCATCTAGCTATTTTGCTATTTAGCTCATAACTCGGCCAAAAACGCATGAAATTCAATTCAGAAAGCTGTTCTGAGTTGCCCTTTCTAAGCTTAACAAAACTGCATACTTCTCCTGAGTTTTCAGACTGCAATATACTGCTTGATGTTTATTTCAAAAACTGCTTTGCTGTGCTACACGGCTGTTTCAGCAAAATACCGACAGGTGGCGCTCACAAAAAGAAACTGCTTTATGGGATAAGGAAATAAAATGAAAATATATTAACTAAGCCAGAAATTTATTAAATTTAATTCGGAAAACATAGAGCATACTCCATTTAATTTTATCTAAAATGTGTGGTTTTTTTTGACAATTTTAACGATCAAATTTGGAAAAAACTGTCAATTTTTTGATTATTTTTGGGAAAAAACCAAATTTAAAAAAATCTGTAATTTCGCCAAAAATGCATTAAAATCAATTTGGAAAGCGGTTTTGTGCTAGTTTTTATAAGGGCTATAAATCTGCATACTGAATTTTAAATTTCATTTTTTTCGATTTTTTGCAAATTTTAATGATGGTACCCCTTATCAAATTTTGAAAAAATCGATCGAAAATTTTTTTTCCACTAAATGTCTAGAAAGACTCGCCTGTTGATGCTGATCAAGAATATATATGGTTTATGGGGTCGGAAATGATTCCTTCTGCCTAAAAAGCTCTAAAAACCCCCCAATGGGGCTTAAAAAATCAATTTTTGGTTTTTATTTCTTGTTGAACAAATCTTTTTGTTTATATTGAAAATGTTGCTACATTTCCTGAATAAAATTAAAATATCCGTAATAAATAAATAATCACATCGTTCGGATTGGAATACAGTAGATTCGTCTTTATTGAATTTGATTTTTCTGTTCAGTTTTACATGCTATATAAACTAGTTTTTATTAATCATATATTGTTAATATTTATATTTGCATTATTTTCTCCCCTTTTTCCATATTTCTTCCCATTCTCCATTGCTTTGCCCGACGCTTTCTTGCTTTTTTTTATTTTTTGTTTTAGAAATTGTTTTTTATGGCTGTTTTTTTTTTGCATTTGTTTGATTTTTTTCTGGTGTTTTTTTTGTTCGTTTTTCTTTGTTTGCCGGAAATACACGTTTTTTGAAATAAAAAAAACACAATTATAGTTTAGCTTAATTAAAAAAAAATATTACCATTTAATTATTTATTATATTCGGTTTCTTATTTATTTTTGAATGCTCTCGTGTTTGCATTTATACAAGAAATGCGCTACAAAAAAATGTTTTCTTGTGTAATTTTTGGGATTAAAGTTTTTGTTTTCACTTAGATTTTAGAAAATGTTTGTTTTTTCGAGGTTTTTGCCAAAAATTGTGTGTGTGCTTAAGTTTAATATCTATATATATATATATGTTTTTTGTATTTACTTTTTTGTTTTTGCTTTTTTATATGTATATTTTTGATATTTTTGCTGCTTTTGTTGTTAATAATTGTTTATTTTTTATTTTGGGCACATTTAGCTAATTTCTTTTCAATAAACGCTTGGCTTTGCTCCTTCTTCGGTTTTTGCATTGCTTTATTGGGCGGATTTCAAACTGAAAAAACGGAGAGATACTGCCTCTGTATGGGTATCTGTATCTGTATCTTTGTATCTTTCACCTGCCTGGGGGTTACAGGAAGTTGGATCTTTGTTTGGGTTCTGTGTGCGTTGGTGTATGTTTTTTTTTGTGTGTTAACTTTACTCGTTCTTGACTTGCCTGGGTTTTTCTATATATAAGTATATATATACGATATATATCGGCTGATTAATTATGTCAAGTCATGGCTGGTTTTTGGGGTTTTTTTCTGCTAAAATAACTTTTTTTTTATTACTCTTACGCTTTAAACATAATATTGATATGGTCTGGTTTGTTGTTGTTGTGTTTTTTTTCTGCTATTTATTTTTGTTAATTTTATTTATTTAATTATTAATTAATTTATTTATTTATGTACAGCTAGGGTTTGCTTGGTTTGTGGGGAAAAACAGGGTTTTGGGCCACAAAAAAATTTAAACAAAAAACCTTTTTTTAATTGTGGAATTTTTTAAGGTTAAACTTTTTGTTTTTTTAAATTTTATTTACAGCTTTGTGTTTTTTGATTTTACTTTAGTTTCGTTTTTAAATTGCTTGCTTTAATTTAATTTTTATTATTAAAATTAATTACGTATGTCCTGCTCTCCTCCTAATATATATATATATATATATATTATTTACGTGGGCTAGCACCGCATATTTGTTTATATATTTATATATGTGTGTGTGTATAAAAATGCTGATCATTCATATATATGTATATATTCACCTGCTGGACACTCCCACCTAAAAGGTAAGCTATACAGGGCGTGGGCGTGGGACTTGGGGGGGGGTTTCCAGGGATTTTCTCTGTGGGCATTTTTCTTTTTTGGCGGAAAATAAAAAAAGGATATCGATGGGTGTTGTTGTTTTTTTTTCGTTTAAGAAAACATTTTTATTTGATAAAGTTTCGTTCATGTTCATGTATTATTGGTATGTTGTCGCTTTTGCTTTTCCTTCTCCTTTTCATTCTTTTAGATTTATATGTGTATTTTGTTTTTTTTTTGTATATAATTACAATAATATAATAATAATAATAATAATAATAATAGAAAAAAAAAATGGTTGCTTTTAAAACTAAAAGTTATTCCATATTTTGCATATATTTTATATATATAGTTTTACTCTTTTACGTTTATCTCAATATCCATATTGGGTTTATAATTTATTTTTTAGCTAAAGCGTATGAAAATGCAAAGTATTTAAACTTGATTTAACTTAGCAGGGTGGAAATTATATATATATGTATATATATATTTATATAAATTAAAGAAGATCGTTGTTTTTCTCTCTCTGCATATATTCAAAATATGTTTTTACTTGCTTTTATATTTGCTTAGATTTTTTGTTGTTTAGTTTCTTGAATAAATTTCGCTTGAAGATGCAAATTTTATGTTTGGTAATTTCCTTTTCTCTCTTTCATTCCTTCTCATTTATATGTATGTATGTAATAATAATAATAATAATAATAATAATAATAATAACGCGGCAAATTTTGGGCCTATGCAAAAATGGTTTTCGTGCTTGTTTTTTAATAGTTTCTTTTTTATTTATTTAGAGAAATCTGTTGTGTTGTTTTTTTTTTAGCTTAAACATTTAGCCTAGGAAAAAAACGTTTAAATATTTTGCTTAAAAATTTGCTTCGGTTTGTAGGAAAACAGATTCTTGTGTTTTTTTTTGTGTGTTTTTATTATAATAATGATTTTTTTGTTGTAATTTATTTAATATTACGATTAATATATATATAAACTTAGGTTCTAGGCAAAAAAAAAGTTGGCTTTCTTAGATTACGGTTGGTTTTTCTTTTTTTTTTTTTGTATTTTCTTTTTTGTTTTTTTGTAATTTCTTTAGTACGATATGCGGGTTTTTTATTTGTTTTTATTTTTCTTTTAATATAATATTATTTAGATTCACAGAAAAAAATTGTTGTTATATATGCTAAGGGTTTAATGCAAAATGTAAATTTATATTTAGCGTAAGGCTAAGTTGATACACATATACATACATATATGTATACATATATATATATATATATGTTTAATTATATATTAGATATATGTATATATATAATTATTGTATATATCGAATAATTAGATTATAAATAATTTAGTGCATTTTGCATGTGTGTTTATTTTTGCTATAATTATGAATTACTCAATGTATCAGTGTGTGTGTGTGTGTGTGTTTGTGTTTGTGTGGTTTTTATGTAAATTCAAAATTTACAAAATTTATTGTTATATGTATTTTACTTTTTTTCATCTCAAATCAATTGGAAAAACCAAGACGGGGAAAAACACGCTTCTTACTTGTTTTATTTCCTATTTTTTTTTTAATTTTGCCCTTTAACTATCTTTTACTTTGGATTTTTAAATAATTTTCCTCATGCATTCATTTCCCTTTTCGCTTTCCTCTAACTTTTCCTTCGTTTTCATTTTTTTTGTTATTTTGTATTTTTTATTTAGCTTGAGATCAAAAGATAGTTAAAAACAAGTCGGTTTGCGGTTAAAAAATTTAAGGGTTTTGTTTGGTTTTTTTTGTGTTTAGGAAGAACGACAGAAACTTTCTATTTACATTAATTTATTTATTTACACTTAACGAATTAACACTTAACTATCGAGTTCATACAAAAAAAAAAAAAAAAAATAGTATAGAATTACGTGTGTGTGCCTTTGCTTACAGTCTTCAAGTAGAAACAAATCGAAAAAAATCGTTAATCGATAAAATTGCTTATCGAAAAAGATCGTTAACCGAAGAAATCGTTAATCGACAAAAATCTTTAAACGAAAAAATATTTTTAAATACAAATTTTGTAAAATAATTTTATAAATTAATTTTTTATCGAAAAATTCTTCAGCTGATAAAATGATTTATCGAAAAATCCACAAATTTGTTTAAACAAATTAAAAGAATTTATAAATAATATAAAAAAAATTAATCGAAAAAAATGTTTAATCGAAAATCGATAGAATTCGCTTAATCGATCATCGAATCTTTGCAAGATTTTGATCTTTCTTTTCACTAACATTTGGATCTCGACACACATGTGTTTTGGTTCAAGTTCTTCGGCAAGTCAAGGGGGTAGGGGAGGGGTTTCCTGCAACTTCTCTTTCTTTCTTTACTTCTCTCCCCATCTCTCTTCTCTTTAATACTTTTTGCGCTGCTCCACACCCAACGATCGCATAGCGTCTCTAAACTTTTAGCTACAAACTACTACGGACTAACCTTAGGTCTAAACCAAACTAACGCCTATTTAGTAGTTAAAAAAAAAATAATATAATATATATTTATATTTAGATATATATATATATATATATATATAGAGTGTCTGCTCTCTCTATCGATCTCTGGATATCGATCTCCCTGGTCGCTTTCAAACATTTTCAAACTTAATCACAAGTAAACGCGCCTCAACTCAACACATTGCACTGATTATTTCGCTCTCTACGCTCTCTTTTCTCTCTCTTTACTCTCTATTTGCTCTCTTTACTCTCTATTTGCTCTCTCTTCTTAGTAATTCCATCCTGCAGGACTCGGACTGGCCGTCACTGCCGGCGGGGCTAAGGGACTGCTGCTGGAGCTGGCTGTGGTGCTGTTGCTGGAGGCCTCACCAGCTGGTGTCGAGGCTGCTAACGGAGCCGTGGGTGCGGGCATCTCATCGGCGGAACCATTGCCCGTGCTGCTCAGTCGACGCACTCGCACTAGCCTTAGCTTCTCCTCGTTGACCACCTTCAGCTGCTGCTGCTGCTGCTGCTGCTGTGTCTCCTCGGGGGTAGCCTCCAGACTGGGCTGCTGTTGCTCCTCCTCCTCCTCGTCTTCGTCATCTTCCTCCTCCTGCTTGATGTGCACCTCTGGCTCCATGAAGCGCTGATCAATCTCTAGCTGGGCATGCTCATGATCCGAATCACCGCCCGCCGACTCCTTGCCCGTTTGGTCGCCATCATCGCGTCCATATTCGGAGCCCTGCATCACGCACACTCCATTGATGATTCTCTCGCTTTCCGCCGCCGTGGCTGCTGCTGCCGCTGCTGCTGCTGCGGCTGCGGCTGCTGCAGCTGCTGCTAGGACAGCATTGGGCGTGGGCGTGGCACCGCCACCAACACCAGCCGGATTCACCCATTGGGGGGCAGCTGGCTTGCGGCGTGAACTTCTCACCGCATTGGACATGTAGGCAGCGGCTGCAGCAGCCGAGGCCAAGGCGGATTTGTGCAGAGCCTTCTCGTAGTCGCTGCTCTTGTTATCCTCCAGCTGATCCTGCTCGGATTCGTTGTCGCTGAGCTGATGCTGGAGCTGCTGTTGCTGCTGCTGCAAGTGCTGCTGCAGCTGGAGATGATGATGCGCCTGCTGCTGATGATGATGATCCATCTCCAGGTCATCCTGATAGTCATCGCTACGCTCACGCTTCAGCGTTGGCATCGACAGATCCAAGCCGCTCATCTGCTCCTTGAAGGCTTGATTTAAAGCCTGCAGCTCCTCGCTGGTGGTGGCACCACCGCCTCCTCCAACAGCTGCCGCTGCTGCTGCTGCGGCACCTGCTGCTGCTGCTGCTCCTGGTATTCCAGCCAGGCTGCGTCCCAACAAAGCGGCAGCTGCAAAGTACGGGGGATATGGGATGGGTGCCCCGCTCAGACCCATGCGCTCCTTGTGCAGCTCGACGAGACGCTGCTGCAGCAGAATCCGGAACTGGACGGGATCGAAGGGTGTGGCACTGGTGCTCTCCCGGCTGGGTATGGGATTATCCTGACCGGGCTGGCCATGCGGCACCTGTTGCTTCAACCGCATCCGGTGATTGTGGAACCAATTCGTGATCGTCCGCGTGGCCAAACTCAGTTCGTTGGCCAGAAATTCAATGGTTCCCACATTCGGATAGGGATCCAAGGCAAAGGCTAGGCGGAGGGCTTCCTTTTGCTCCTCGGAGAAGAGTACCCTTTGCTTTTTGCTGGGCGGAGCACCACCCACACCGCCCACGCCAGAGCCCACCGAACCCGGCCCAGGGCTGCTGGTGTAAAAGTCATTGGTATCATTGCTGGATGTATCACTGCTATTGTCCTGCTGATTGGGACCGGTGCTCCTGCGTCGCTTGCTCGCCTCCCGGCGCTCATTCTTCAGCAGTTGCAGTCGCTCCACATTGTTGGCATCGCTCAGCCAGAGCTGCATCCGGATGAAGGGCTCCCGGCCCTTGATGGAGAGCATATGCCAGGGCTTGGGCTTGCTCAGGAGCTCCGAGACGGAGCCCTGGGAGAGGCCAAGCACCGCCTCGCCAAAGATCTTTTGACCAATATTATTGGCCAGCAGGGCCTCCTTGATCTTGGTGGTTATGTCGTGCGTGTCCAGATCCTGGGTGAGGGCAGCCATCTCATAGACGGTGGGCGACATGTGCTGGTGCAGGCTACGCATGGCATTGGTGCCATGAACCGGCATCAGCATGGGTTTCTTCTCGCTGTTGGCTGGGTTTTGGCCCGAGTTGGAGTTGCTCTGATTCTGGCCAGGATTACCGCCGGGCGGCAGGCTAATGGCATGCTGGGGCGGCAGACCCGGCGAGGTCAACAGCATGCTTTGATGATGCAATGCTGCTGCTGCCGCCGCTGCTGCCGCTGCCTGATGGTGTTGCTGGTGTGGATGTTGCTGCTGCTGCTGCGCTTGCTGCGCCTGCTGCTGCTGCTGCTGAGCTTGGAGATGCTGCTGGGCCGCCGCCTGGAGATGCTGCTGGGCCTGCTGCTGCAGATGCTGCTGGGCTGCCTGTTGCACTTGTACCTGCTGCTGCTGTGCCATGGCCGCCGCCTGCATTTGCTGCATAAGATGCTGCGCCTGCGCCGGCTCCTGCAGCTTCAGCTCGCTCATCATCTTCTGCATGGGCAGGGAGGCCTGCATCTTGCTGGCCAAACCCTGCGGCATCTGTGGACTACCGCTGTAGCTGCCCGTTCGCATCAGCTTCTCCGGGGCAATCTTATACTGGCTGGCCACCAGCTTATGCACCGCATTCTCATCCTCCAGGAACATCTTCATCCGGATGAAGGGCTCGCGACCCTTCTGGGTGAGCATGTGCCAGGGCTTGGGCCGGGCCAGGAGATCGGATACGGAACCCTGGGACAGGCCCAGCACGGATTCGCCAAAGAGACGCTGGGAGATCGAGTACTGGGAGAGGGCCTCCTTCACCCGACGCACTATATCCTCCGTGTTGAGGTTGTTGAACATGTCGAACTGCTGCTGGGTGATGGGCGGCAGCACCGCCTTGGTCGGACGCTGCGGTGTGCTATGATGCGGCGTCACCGGCGGCTGTGTGATCAGCGAGTTGGTAATGGAGGCCATCCTCTGCAAAGGACTGGCTGTGGCCGCAAACTCCTCATTTTGGCTGCTCAAAGCCGGCGGCAGGATGGAGTTACTCAAGGGACTGGGCGCTGCCGAGTTGCTGCTGGCTCCGGCTCCAGCTCCACTGCCTGGAACACTTGCTCCACTGCCCACATTTGATGGGGTTGCTGGCACTGAGGGTGTTACCTGTCCTGGTGCCGGTGTACCGCCACCTTCAGACTTGCGGCCATGCAGGGATGAGGGATAACCGGGCTCATCGCGTTCGCCATCCTTGGAGCAACTGCTGCTGCTGCCACCGCCACCGGCACTGTGCTCTAGCGAGGAACGCTGGCCATTCAGCTTGTTGTCCTTGGCAGCCGCAGCGGCCAGCGAGAGATCCTGGGCTCCATTGAGCACCTGCTGCTGCAGGGCCATCAAACTGGAGAAGTTGGGAAACTGCTGTTGCTGCTGTTGCTGTTGCTGTTGCTGTTGCTGCTGCAGCTTGGCTATTTCACGCTCAAAGACATGCCGCATATTCTCATCGGCCATGGCAGGAAAGGCATTACCAGCGGCTCCAGGCATGCCGGCAGCTCCTCCGAAAATGGGGGAGAAGAACAAGCTGAGGGGGATGGAAGGGGGAGAGAAAAAGGATAGATTTAGATTATATGGTTTTCATCTGAGAACCCATCTAAAGACCAGCTGCATACCCTTTCCCTTAGCTGGTTTTCCAGATCTTGAAACCCCCACTCACCTGGGAAATGGTGCCTCACGAGGCGTTCGCGCTATAAGCTCCTGATACAGCCTGGCCATCTTGTCCTGGGCCATATCCTCGTGCCTCAAACGCTGCTGCTGCTCCCGCTCCCGCTGCTCACGCTCTCGTTCACGCTGCTGCTCGGGATTGAGATGTTGCTGCTGCTGCTGTTGCTGTTGCTGCTGCTGCTTGAGCTGCTGCTCCACCTTGAAAAAGGGTGAAGTGCAGCTCTGTGGCGGCGATTTGCTATCCTCATTGCTGTGAGAATCATCGCCCACCAGACCACCACCATGACGACGCAGCTCATGCTCCCGCTGCTGCTGCTGGGCAACGCTGCTCTGCTTCATCAGCGACGAGGCCTCGCTTAGAATGTGGGCGATGCGATCCTCGGACATGGAATCATCACCGCCAGGGCCGCCGGCACCGCGACCAGCATACTGAGGCAGGCCAGAATCTGAAACAGAGATATATATATTCGATTAGTAGAGGGATCGTAAAGAGTCTGAGCCATTAAATGCTGTAAAGTTTATTGGAGGAGCGCACAGGAAGGAATCAAACTCAGAGAGAGAGAGAGGGAGGGAGAGAGGGAGGGAGGGGTAGAGTTCAACCAATTAAGCCATAAAGCGTTCAAAAGGCCAAAGCGAATTTGCGGCCATAAAGGCGGCGCTGCAGTTGAAAGGATCTACCCGTATATGTATCCCTAAAATTTCGATGGGTTTCGGGGAGAGGGGTGGCTCCAATTATATGTATATATATGTATATGTATGTAGGATATATATATGTATATATTTTTGAAATGTGAATGAATTTGAGGTCCCCTCTCAAATAGTTGTTCGATGCAAAAAGAGCGTTTGCGCTAATTTGGCACGCGCCAGGACCCAGCCCCAGCCTTAGCCTGCTCATCGAAGCGAGGTCCTGGCAGTTGAATAAACCAAAACGAAATGAATAAATGAATGAATTCAATTGCAATTGAGAGAGAGAGAGAGAGAGAGAGCGGGTTACAAAAAAAATAAAGAATCCTGCAAAAAAGTCCTTTCAAAAAAATGAAATGGAGAAGGAAGTCCTTGTGCTTTTCAGACTCCTCTGTATTTTTTTTGTGACAAAACATCGACTGGTAAATTGCAAAATAATCAAACACAAGCACACACACACACACACATCCTGTTGTGTGTCCTGCGGCATGTTTTTGTGGCAACAAACATCAATCAAACGTTTTTCCCATGCAAAAGCAATGAAATGAAATAACTGAAAATCGCTTTACAATTGCCAAAAAGCATAATCGATGCCCCAAAGGAGCAAACACTTGGCGACTTGGCAAAAAGCGGAAACGGAAATCAACACATGAATGACAAATGTACCACACACACCCACAACCAGACACAAATCCCTCCATTGAAGCGAGAATAGCTGGGGTAAAAAAAATGAAGCTAGCTAGTCCTGGTCAGGCAACAACTACAATAGGTTTCTGACCATAAAAATTGGAAAAATCATTTTCCACATTTTTCTTTTCTTTCTTTTTTTTTTTGTTTTTGTCGTCGCTTCATTTAGGGATTACAAAGTGTTTTTGTGTTATAAAGTCGAAGATGACATTGATGACACCTGGTATGACCCAGGGCCAAAGCCAGGGCCAGACCAGGTCTAGCTTCAGCTCCAGCTCCAGCTCCAGCTTCTGGCTCCTGGCTCCAGGATTTCAGGTTTCGGAATCAAATACAGAGGGAATGTGAGGGTTGTCCGAGTGAAAGTGGTGTCTGGTCAGACACAGACAGCTTAGCTTGGGATTTGGCCAAAGATTGTGACCAGCTCCAAAAGGGGAACCAAGGGATACATGGCTATATATATAGTATATATCGATTGGGTTAGGAAGAAGGTCACTCAGCAGACTTTAAAGGTTTGATTTTTGAGCAGAGAAAAGTCATTAAAAGGGTAAAGAAAGGTTTATAATAGCTTTATTAGCTTCAACTTCTCCTAACTAAATTTACTTTATTTATTTTTTAATTTAAAAAATCCTCTATTAATTCTTAAATCTCAAAGTCTGATGTATGTTTTTAATTTCTATATTTTTATGAGCAAAAAATTCAAGAGTCTTTAACTCACGTGGCATTTCAGACTTGACAAAAAATATAGCTTCAACTTCTCTGCCCTTTCCCCAAATATATATTTTTTTCCTAACAACCTTTCAGCTTTTTACTATATATATATATATGTATATACACACAAATATATGTAGAGTTATAGATAGCTCACCGTATTTTTTGTTTTGTCTGCGATTTACATTATTCTTGTCTGTACTTTTTCTGTGTTTTTTGTTTTTTAATTTATTAGAGAGAAACATGTTGACCAAATTGTCATTCAAAAAGGGATATATTTATTTGTGTTTTTTTTTTTTTGGACCACCAAAGATATGAGCTATCATATTTGTCTACCCAGTTATTGTATATATATATATGATATATATATTTTTATATGACAATCTTTGTTCTGCTTCCCATTTTGCCTGATGAATATTTGCCTTTTATAACAAATCGGAGAAGGAGAATGAGGAGGTGCAGACCTGGGCTCCAACTCCATACTGGGGGTTGGTTTCCCTTTCCCATTTTCCATTTTCTGTTTTTCTGTTTTTTCTCCTCTATATATGTATATTCTAAAATACAATAAATATTTGCCGGCATTCTCGTTCCACACACAGAAATATGTGTAATCATACTTCAACATGTCGCGTCGCGTCGATCTGAAAGGGTCCTTCTTCCTTTCGTTGCGTTGCGTTGAGGGTTTGAGGGAACGCACGGAATTGAACCGGCTGTTGGCACATTGAAATTGGCACACGCACGCAATTTGCATTAATTGCAAGTAAAAATTTTCTAATTAAAATGCCAGTCATTTCGACTTGCTCTCCTTCTCCTTCCTCTCTCCTATCCATTTGTTCCTGGTGTATTAGCAAAAGTGTCAATTAAAAAAAAAAAGAAAATAAAAAATAAACAGGAAAAGGGGATTTGGAGGCTTCTTCTTTGCTCCTCCTTCTTCCAGCTGAGCGGAAAGCAAACGTAGCATTGCAAATTGAAGAGTTTCGACACAGGGCGATGGCTTCTTCTTCTTTTTCTGGGACCTGCACTGCAGCAGAGCCTCGAGTCTCTCTCTCACCTGTTATCAAAAGCGTTTCACTTTCCCCCATTCCCTGAATTCCTAGCCACCCCATTCCCCTTTTGTTCCACCTTTGTTTGTCTTGCAATTAAGCAGAAAATTTTATATATATGGGGGATACAGAGGGAGAGAGAGAGCTGAGGAACAAGTGGAATGGGTAAGAAAGAGTATGGAGAATGGTGTTATTGGAGAGTGGAGAGTGGAGAAAGGAGTCCTTTCTGGGAGAATGGGCAACGTGCAGAGGCAACTTTGTCTTGCATTTTAATTTGTTTTCGTCATGGATTTCGCTTTGTTCCATCTCTCCAGCCCCCTTAACCCTTATACCCCCCTTCCTTACCCCTTAACCCTGTTGTTGTCAAAGTTCATTACAAAGTAATTAGCCCGCTTATATGCAAAATAAAAATTACAAAAAAATATCCAGGCACGAACACGACATGTGTGCAACATTTAACCATTTTACTTGGCTGGGGTTTTTTTTTTGTTTTTTTGTTTAAAATATTTTCCCCCACCTTATTTTCCACCCATTTTCCCCCCCTGATTTTTCCCTCCTTCTTGTTCTTATTTTTGTTTATTACCCATTTCAGTTTTATTTATTTTTTATTATAGTCTCTAGTGCTTTTTTTTTCGGTTAGTAGTCCTCATCAAATTATTAGCACTCCCTGATCGGGGCCCATTACTCTTCGGTCTTCAGACTTTGGGGTCTTCGGTTCTCAGTCTTCGGTCCTCAGTCTTCTTCAGTCTTCAGTCTTCGGTATTCGTTCTTTTCCCATTCTTATGGCGGCAGCTCTTTCATTTCCCCTCTGATTATTGCCTCATTTCGTTCATCACAAAAGATATCAAAAGAAATTCAAAATAAAATAAATTCTTGTCGGTGGCTAAGATTTCCCTTTCTGCGATCGAGTCAGATTTATGAAAATTGTTGAGCGAGCTTTATGCTAATTTATGCGTATTGTTTGGCCGGCCTACGCAGCCAGGCAATCCCCCCTAAAAAAAAAAAAGTAAAGATAATACATAAATAAATAAATAAATGAGATAAATTAAAAAAAGCAAGAACCGCAATGAGTCGCCACACTTATGAACGATGCGAAGCCACTCAATGAACAATTTTAATGGCTGCAGCATCAGCCAAGGAAGTGTGTGTGTGTGTGTTGTGTATAAATAAAATCAAATAAAATCAAAATACAATCAAGATATGGGGCCAAAAATCGCGTTAAAGCTAAAGCATTGATACGCCCCGTTGGCTCACTTAGAGAAGGAAAGAAAAATGTTCTAGAAGGCTTTGGGGATACTCTATCTCTTTTGGTTTTTTAATATATATTTTTAAGTGATTTTTTATTATAAATAATATTAAGAATGTTGAAAAGGCAGCTTGGAGTAATATAAATATATAAAAAAGGCTTGAATACAGGTTTTGAATATTATTGAATATTAAAAAAGAGGTTTTAAAACAGTTTAAAATTATATTAAAATCGTATTTATATTATTTAAAACTTTCTCTACTTTTTAAATAATTTGATTATTTTATTTAAGCCTTTCTTAACCCTTTTTTTATTTTAATTTAACCTGTTTTTAATTAATTTATTATTTTTTTCTTTCACTTTAAGTCTTTTTATTAATTTTTTATTTTATTTTATTATTTATTTATTATTTATTTATTATTTATTTTACTTTAAGCTTTTGTTATTTATTATTTTTTGATTGGATTTCAATTTTCCTCTGCTTTAATAATTTTATTATTTTATGTAAGCCTTCTTTAACATTTTAAAATATATTTTAAATTTTTGATTAATTAATCATTAAATTTTAAATTTATTAAATAAATAATTTATGTCAATGTTCCTTCCTTTCCTTTTCGATTTTCTCAAAAAAGAGCATCTCCTAGTCTTTAGTCTTTCGATTTTCTTTGTGAAAAATATTATTATGTTTTTGTTTTGTATTTCTTGTTGTTGTTTTTCTTTCCTTTGACACACACTTACACACACTTTTAGCCCGCTTTATAGCTTGTGACAAATAATTTGTGAAGCGGCCGCAAATAAATGTGTGGCAGTCTGCCGTACGTTTTTCTTTAGCTTTTTCTGATTTTCCTTATTATTATTTTCTTTTTTTTTTTTTGGTTTTTATTCAGCCGCATCTTCTTGTGGCATTTGGAATGCTTTTGTTTTGTCGAAGCTCTCCCCCCTTTCCTGCCCGATTTTTGGTGCTATTCTTAGCCAACACACTCGCACTCGCACTCTGTTTTGGCCTGGCCCGCGCGTTGCGTTGGCCTGGCTAAAATAAAGGCAAATAGACATTGAGGGGGGGCGACGACGGTGTCTGTTGAGAATTATGTGTTAATATGCTAGTATTATTAGCTGCTATAATGGCTCACACTCTGTACTCCTCGAGTACTCCCCCAACCTCGCCCAGTCCTCCTCTTCCCGGTCATTACGTATACGCCGCATAGTACCCTGCTTTTGAGCGAGTTTCAATTGAGCACTTAACTCTCCCCTCATTTTTCTAGTCCTGTTTTTGTTACCAAAGAGTCCTGTCAACAGTTTCTTTTTTTTTCTACTTTTGGTTTTTTTTTTTATGTGCGTTTGTGGCTAAAGTAAACTTTAGTCAAGTGTAAGAGGGTTAAGAGGGCTAAGGTCCTGCGGGTTAAACACTATAAAAGTATCTTTAGTCTGGTTTTTAAGGTTTTAAAGTATAAAAAAGGTAGGTAAAGGTTTTAAAATATATTAAGGGTTTAGTTTAAAAAAGTTATATATTTTTTTAATATATTTTGGAAATTTTAAGGCTTAAAGAAAATTATTCAAAAATTGAAATAAAAAGTTTTGGCTTTGCAGTTCAATTAAAAAAAATAAATTTAAAAAAATTATAAATTAAAAAAAATACATTTAAATAAAAAAATAAATAAAAACACATTTTTAAAAGGCTTAAAGACTTGACCAAAAATATTTTATATATTAAAAAAAATTCTCTTTTAATTTCTATACCTTTAAAAAATCGTATTAATTTATTTTTAAAATTCTATAATTCATATATCTTAAACTTCTTTTTATTTTTTAAAGTTAACCAATTAAAATATAACAAATAAACCTTTTTTTTATAGTTTTCTGGTACTAAACCTTAACCCCTTTGATTGATAATATAAACCCCCTTTAACCCTAAAAAAAAAGCAACAATTGTCCTTAAAAAAAAAAAGAGAAAAGAAGTAAAAGAAATAAATAGCAGCCAGGGCAAAGGAAGAAATTCGAAGGGGGCGGGGGACAAAACAAACCGAAAACGCAAAAACTTTTGCGTCAAGCCATGAGGGGGGTAAGAGGAGGCCACTACCCCCTGGTTACCCCCCTTTTTTATAGGGGGGAGAGGGGTACAGGAGGGACAGCCACAAAGACGACTTCAAACGCTCGGCACGTCAGCGATTTTGCATGGCTCGTTGAAGGCAGAGTTGCAGTTCTGCCTCGTATTATTATTATTATTATTTTTATTATTATTTGTTGTGTGTTTGTTGTTGTTGTCGTCATCACTGGCTTGTTGTTTACATTTAATTCAACTTCATGTTGCCCGCCTATACACACACACATATATATATTTATTTTTAATTTTTTTTCTGATTTTGTTTCAAGCTTTTCACAGACCAATTGTCACGGCAGTCGTCGTCGTCGTCGTCGTCCCCTCACCTTTGCCACCTTTTTTGTATTTATTATTAAGTCCATATACTCCCCTCCCCTCCTGGCAGACCCCTTCTAAGCCCCTGTCCCCCCCTGATTTTATATAGCGCGCTTTAAACAATTACAATTCAAAATTCATTGACGCGCATCCTGGGTTAACTTTTGCCACAATGACTTCAAAGTATTGTTAACCTGAGCTACCTGAGTTGCCTACCACAGGTGGGATAGGTGGTGAAAAGGGGGTGAATGCAGAAATTAGAAGTCACGGAAAAAAGGGGAAATATCAAAAAAATAATAATTGCCTTGAAGTTTATTAATAAATTTTGTAAATTGATTTTAAATATGGAAAATAAATATTTTTTTAAAACCAAAAAGGACTTAAAAAATTAGTTATTTAATTAAAAAAAAATAAATTAATAACAAAAATAATTTATTAATTTTGTTGAATATTTTTAATTAAGAAAATAGCAAGAAAATATTTTAGAACCCTTGAAAATATATTTTTTAAATAGCAGGAAAATCTCCAAATTAATTTTTTAAAATTTTAAAATGACTACATGCTTACTTTTAATTGTTCTAAATATTTATTTATAATAAATAATTCATAAAAATTAATATAATTAATAAAAATTAATTTAAATTAAACAAATAAAGAGAAATTAAGAATTTTAAAATTTTGATTTTCTATTAAAATTAAAATTAAAAAAGAGAGAAAAATATAATTATAAAATATTGACTTTCTATTAAAATCAATATTTTAAAAAGTATTTATTTCCCTTTCTTTTATTTTTTTTTTAATATAAACAAATAAATATAACCTCTCTTGCACTTTAACCCCTGCCAGTGCCTCCTTAACCCTACGTCCCTGTCAGAGCTGGCTCTGTGTCCCTCTCTAGCTCCTTCTCCCCCCTTTCTATCCTTCTTTCTCTCCCTTCCTCTCCCTCTATAAACAGTCACAGTTAGTTTAGCTGCCATGAGTAATCGTCATAAATTAATTGTCAACATTTGCATGCACTTAGACCAACACACACACACACAGACACACACACGCACCTAGGGCAGGGACGGTGGGGCTGAAGGGGGGTTGGAATGCGTGCTTAGCACATTTTAAACATACTTTTTGCATTGACATATTTCCCGGTCTACGCTTTTCCAAAGTTTTTAACCATTCAAATTGATGACTAATCAATATTGAAAAAGGGGAAACCCAGGCAACAGGGATATATAACAAGGAGTTGTGTGTAGGATTTTATATATACATATATATTCTATATAGTATCTATAGCTTGCTCTTAAATTCAGTTAACAAAATGAAAAAAAAAAAAACAAAAATCACGACAGAATGAAACGAATTCCTGTTCATTTTCACGCCTAATGTGCGAATTTGCTGAAATTTATGGCGACAGGCAAATGGCCGCTCCAACTGCACTGCAAAATGTCTCGTTTTTTTTTTTTTTCTGCACCTAACCGACCCCTCCTCACACACTACTCCCCTGGCTTCTTCGTCGTCAAGTTTGTCGCCGCCGACTGGCGGTGCTGTTGGCACGTTGATTATACGCAAAAATCAAAAATAATTAAAATTTCACAATTTAATGTTTTGGCCGGCGGCCAAACGAAATGAAAAACGCCAAAAGACGCAGCAAAAAAAATAATAAATATAAGAGGAGAAAATATTTCACAGAGAGAAAGGAGGAGAAAGAGAGCAAGCTGACAGGACCTCGTTTGAAGTTCGAGTTGAAGGACTCTCTCTCTCTCTTTGTGGTTTTGCCTGCCAGTCAATGAACCTGGGAATTATTCTGTTATAATTCGATTCCTTCAAAAATATGCTTTTAAAACCGATTTAAAAGGCTTCTAAAAGTAGGCAATGATATATTTTAAGGAGTTAAAAATATGTACGATTTTTTAAAGTCTCATTTTTTGCAGGGGTTTGAGAAAGGTTTTTAATTTAAAGGTTTCAGTTAATTAAAACTCTTTAAAAACAATTAAAAAGACAGCCAAAAGTAGGCAATGAAATATTTGTAGGAAAGTAAAAATTGTATTACATTTTTTTGTAGCCTACTTTTGAGCAAGGTTTTTTAAAAGGTTCTCCAATCTTTCTTAATTTTCCAAATAAATTGTGAATAAAAATTAATAAATTAAATAGAAATAAATTAAATTTAATTAAATTAAATACATTTAAAAAAAATTATTAAATTTCCCAATTTAATTTTATTAATTTCCAAAGAAATTCCTTTCCATAATTTTTTTAAACCATTTCCCTAGAGATTCCTTTCTATATTTTTTTAATCCATTTCCCCTCAAGAGATTTTCCCCTATAATCCCCTCCCTAAGGCACCCCCTTACATTCTAAGCCACACTTACCTTTCTTGGGTATCAGCGACTTGAGCAGCATTACGGCATTATCATCACAGGCCCAGGCATGCATCTTCCGATAGCTATCCCTGCCCTTCTCCGTCAACTTGTCCCACGGCTTCGGCTTGCTTAGGAGCTCAGAGACGGTTCCCTGGGACAGGCCCAGGATATACTTGGCGAACAGCCGCTGCCCAATGTTGTGCACCGAGAGCAACTCTCGGACGCGACGCGAAATGTGCAGGGTGTCCAATGCCTGATTGGCATACTTGTCCATGTTGTAGCGCAGCATCTCCTGCAGCTTGGCCTCCATGGGATCACCCTTGGGTATTAGCGATTCACCCAATCGACCGGCCATCGAGGCACCCGGTGGCAATTGCAATTCCGCATCCGCAAACCGATAATGTCCGCGACCAACAACATCACCGCCACCGGCGGCCACCTGGGCGGCGGCAGCAAACTGAAAGGCAGGCGGTAGACCCGGGAAAATTCCAGGGCCCAAGGCAGCGGCAGCTGCCGCATGCTGGGCATGGGCAGCCATGGCAGCGGCAGCCAAACCATTGGTGGCGGCATCCTCGCCCAACGATTTGCTGCCATTCAAGGCGGTTCCTGACGTGCCCGAGCCCGATCCGGCGGCTCCAGCTGAACCCGACGATCCTCCTGCAGCTCCGGCGGTGGGTGTGCTGGTGGCACTGGAGTTTGAGCTGGACTCTTGATGCTGATGCAGGTGATGATGAGCTGCGGCTGCGGCTGCTGCTGCAGCTGCGGCTGAGGGATGAAGCAGGCCGGCGGCATGCAGGTGATGATTGAGGCCATGATGGTGGTTTAGCCCATCAGACTGATGATGCTGCTGCTGCTGCTGCTGGTGTGAATGTGGGTGGTGGTGGTTCGAGGAGCTGCTGTTCCCGCTGCTACTGTTGCTGTGCAGGTGATGATCCCGCTCCCGTTCACGCTCCCTCTCCCTTTCACGCTCCCTCTGGTGTTGGTGGGCATCTGTGCGAGAGGATAAGGAGGAGGTGGTGGTTGAGGTTGAGTTGGAGTTGGAAAAGGTTGAGTTAACCAGTTGGCTAAGCAAGGCGGTGGACGAGGGTCCATGTTGCTGTTGCTGTAGCTGTTGGTGTTGTTGTTGTTGTTGGTGTTGTTGTTGTTGAATTGGGTTATTAAAAAGATGTTGTGGTTGTTGTTGAGGCACCGTTGGGGCCATGGGTGGCGGCGGAGGCGGTGGTGGCGGCAACAGCAATTGCTGCTGTGAATCGACAGGCCTAAGGCCCTGATAAATTGTTGGCGTTTTGCTCCCCGGAGGCGATGTATCGAAGCCGCGACGCCAATAGCTATTGACCAGCTGCTCCTGCAGTAATACTTCCGTTTCGGTTTCCGTTTCCGGTTCGGCTTGAGGCTCATCATCATCATCGTCGGGTAGCTCCATTTTTGTTATGTTTGTAGCTTCGATAGGTTCATCGATAACATCCGATTTCTGGGGGTTCTGGTTTTCTGCGGAGGGATAACCAACGAAAACAAATATTTGGGGGCTCTATTTGTTTTGTTGTTTGTATTTTTTGGTTTTGTTTTTTTTTTTTTTTTTTTGTATTTTTTTGTAACAACAACACATCCAGGGAACAAAACGCCAAAATTAATCGAAAACTTTCTTTGCCATTTATCGTTTTTTTTTTTTTTTTTTGTTTTTTTTCTCGCCAATTTTGTAAGTGCAACAAAATAACAAATATATATATTTATATATCATATTATTATATTTTTTTGTAGATTTTAAAAAGAGAGTGATGGTAGAAGTAGTTCTTTCTGCTATCGATAAACACATGCAGAACTCAACAACAACTACAACAACAATTAACAACAACAACAACAACAACAACAATGCTCTTGGTTATTTTATAATGATAATGATTGATAATGATAATGACCGGAATGCAAATATTTAGCCACCGCAAAAAAAAAGAAGAGTAGAGGGAAAAAGTATTGTGGAAATAAAAGCATTCTTGCCGCGTCTTCAGGCCATAAAATCTGGCGCCGTCCGAGTCTCCTCTTTGCTGATTTCTGATTTCTGCTGTATATATATCGTATGTATATATATGCGATATATAACCTTCTTCTTTGCAGGGTTTATCGCGCTCAAATAAACCATAAAAAAAATAATAATAAATGCAAAGCCTGCGCGTGTCGGTTTCAAATCAAAGACGAATTGATAAAGCCAAGAAATCAGAGAAGGACCGGAAGTATATAGTATGAGCTATAGGGTGGATCAATAAGGGGATTTTAAGAGATTTTTGTTAAGAGAGAAACGTGGAAATTTTTTAAAAAGGTTTTTTTGAGATTTTAAAAGTTGAATATTTTTTGAAAAGATTTTTTTTAGAGATTTTAAATAGTTTCTTAAAAGAGATTTCTTGGTTAAAATTTATATATTTTTTTATAAATAATAGATTAACGATTTTTTTTTATATATTTTTAACGATTTTTTAAAGACATTTGTTGCTTGAAATATTAATAAAAAGGAAATTTAAATGGAAAATAATTAAAGTTTACTAGCTTTAAAATTCTTTTAAAAATATCTGAATATATTTTAGACCTGTATTTTCTATAAAATATTTAAGCAATTTATTTAAATGTAACCCTAGTATTTTAAAATATTTCCCCGTATTGATCCACCCTTGTAAAAACAACAAACTTGATGAGAGAGCTTGATGATGATGGTGTCTCTGCTGGCAAACAGCGGGTCTTGGGGACTCACCTTCGCTAATGGCATTGACGGCATCGCTGGCGCCATTCTTGAGCGCCTCGGCGGCCAGGGCCTTGGTCCGCTCCATGAGCAGCTCCTGGAATTTGTTGGGGTCATTGGCACAGGCAGCGGCAGCGGCGGCGGCGGCGGCAGCGGCAATGGCCGACTGAGGACTGAGCACGTTAAGGTCCAAAGGACTGCTATAAAAAAATATTTTAAAATATAAATAAATGTATAAAATATATATAATTAATTTTATAAATAAAAATATATTTCAAATAAATATTTTAAATATATAAAAAATCAAAAAAACTCACTGCTGTTCCTTTTCGATTTTGATCTCGTTGCTATCGCTGACAATCCTTCGATCTGCAGCCCGATCTTCGGCCATGTGATCCTCCTCATCCTCTTCATCCTCCTCATCGTCCTCCCTCCGCTGTCGCTCCTCCGACTTGACCTTCTCCTCGGCCTTGACCTCTTCGCTGGTGTCCACCAGCATGGCCTCATCCTCCTCCTCATCCTCATCGTCGTCGATCTTGCTGATCTCCGCAGGATCACTGGAGGAAGCGGTGGCGGCGGCGGCGCTGGCACTCAGCTTGTTGTGGTCACTGCTCTGACTATTATTATTATTATTGTTGTTGTTGTTGTTGGCAGCGGCAACGGCAGCGGCGGTAACAGCTGCCAAAGCGGTGGCCTCCGCCAAAGCCTCGTTGATCTGATGCTTATCGAGGCGGGCCTCCAGTCGTATAATATGCTGCCGCTTCACCTCCAGATGCTCCTCCAGGCGCTGGATCTGCACCAGGTGCGTCTGTTCCAAAGCCTGCAGGCGCTGCAGCTCCTCCATAAGTGCTTTAATCTGCAAGGCCAAATCGAGAAATATTGCGTTAAATTTATCCATTTTCAAAATGTTTTTCGTTAAATTTGTTGTAAGGAAATATTTCTAGTACGCGATTAATAGTATTTGTATTTTTTACAATACTTTTTTATCGATTTATTCATGTCTCATTAATATTTATCGATGACTGTACTTGGTTTTCTTCTGGCTTGTTTTTGACTGTTTGCCCCCCTGGGTTTTTATACACGTTAAGCTCTTTTGCTGTAAAAGTTCCCTGAGAGTTATAAAATAATTTTTAATAAAATTAACAACGACGTCAATGTCGGCTTCTGGCACACATACACACACACACACACACACGTGGTGAGTCCCCCCCTTTCCCCCAGGTGGTAAGTAAAGCAGGCCCAATCCCACCCCAAGGTACCATCATCAGCATCCCTTTCTCCTGCTTTTGTTTGGGAACTTTGTTTGTTTGATGAAAATATGATAATTGGCAAATTTGACAAGGGAATTTTTCTTAAGTGCGCGTCGACACACACACACATAAGCACACACACGCACAACCGCCCTTTTCCAGCACTGGCAAAAGTTGACAAGATAAAGTTTTTCGGCAGCCCTGCCGCCGTGTGGTATGCAACGAAATTTTTTAATGACAGCCCAGGTACACACGCACACACACACACATGTCACTTTGTGTGTGCCTGTGTATCTCTTATTATGTGATTAAAATTAATTTTATGGCGCGGTTTTTAATTGACGCCAAGCAGATGCCAAGCCAAAAAGTTTTACCTTCAAAATTTCTTATCGATTGATTTTATTAGAGATTTTCTTATTACTTTTATGCTAAAAGTAGCTTTTAAAGGTTCTTTTTAGTGCTTTTTATGGGCGTAGTGAATTTTACTTTAAAGATTATAGTTTTATGCTTTGAAAGAACCTTTTAATTTAGCTTTTAAGGACTTTTCCTATTGCGCTCTTGCTTTAAATGCTTCTGCTTTGCCTGCAATGTGCAAGCAAAAGAGAGAGAGAGAGAGAGAGAGAGAGAGGTACATTTGTTCTCTGCTTTTTATAAAATCATAAATAAATCAAATTTCAAAGGCAAAATCAATATGAATATTAGTAAATAATTAAATCTTGTAAATATATATGCGTGCCAGGAAAAATAGAAAATAGAAAACTTTAAATATCGAGCGGTAAGCGGTAAGCGGTTTGGGGTACCCTTAACCCATATGCAAATATATCAACGAAATCAACATAATTCTAACTACAAATTTGCGTGTCATTGCGTGATTTGTGTCGAACATGGGCATAAACAATAATTTCATCAACATGGGGGAACACCATTGCGAACTGCTGGTGGAACTTCACGTGTCTATTTTATCAATATTTGTGGATGGGGCGTACCCCGCACTCCGCTGATGATTATTGGCCATAAACAATGGTCCCGGCAACAGCAACATAATTGGCATTAAAAAAGCATCAACAACATGCGTGTGTGGCATGCCGAAAAATGCAAAACAGCCGCCGAGAGCCGCCAGTTAATTCTATTATCAATCAAAGGACACCCAACCCCAAATACTGAGAGCGGGGGGGAGGGAAACAGGATCCGGGACACATGTCAAGAAGGGTTGGGAAAATGCCGGCATGCGTGTTCGATTTTTCATTAGCATACGAGGGGGAGTAGGAGGCGGGAGGGAGGGAGGTAGGTAGTAAGAAAAAAGACATGACAAGACGACAAACGACTCAAATTAATTGCATAAAAATCTTATGGGTGCGGTGTAAGGCAGCACCACAGAGGGTGGCTTCTAATTGCCAGACAATCCATAGCCCACAAGCCAACCCCTTTTTTGCCTGGGCTTCATTTTCCAAAAACGAAATTTTTCGCAGCTTTTCTTAAATAAACGTAATTAGCGCACAAGTCGAGGGGCGCCCAGGAAAGGGATCACTCACACACACACATGTGTGTGTGGGAGCAACTGTACTTGTAAGATGGAACTTTAATTTCAAGACAATGAATTATTTTTTAAAGGAAATTAACTTAGTTTTTATGATAATTAATTATTTTAGCAGTTAAGCCTTATTTGAAATTTTTGGAAATTATGTTTAGGTTACAAAAAAAAAAAATACCTAGAAATTTCTAAAAATATTTATTTATAGCCAAAATATATATTTATATATATGTACTTTAAAAATATATTTATTTTTAACCACAAAACTTAATTAGTAAACATAAAATGAATGTTAAAGTTGAAAATTTTAGGCATCCCCTTTTTCGTATGCAAATTAATGCCAAAAAATTGGGGCGGAGGTCTGAAAACTGTCATTTCGATTTTTGGTTTCGACTTTTCGAGTATTTTACGCCAAAAAGCCGAACGACGGCCAAAAATGAAAGAAATATTAAAACGATAAATCAACTTTTTGGATGAGGACAACGACAACAAGGACGATAAGGCACACACACACACACACACACAGAGAGACAGCAGAAATCATTTTCATTTTCATTTTCAAGGGTTGAAAAGTAGAAACTTTCTGCAACTCTTCTGTGGTTGATGAGGCTGCTGCTGCTGCTGCTGCTGCCATGGGTGTGCAGAGTCCTGGGTATAGTCCTGGGTGTAGCATCTAACAGCAATCAAACAAACTATAACAAATACTTTCGAACGAACGATGGATGATGGGTGTGTTGGTTTATCCACCCCCCCCCCCCATCTCGCACTGTGAAAATTATGAAAATTTACATTTTTCCCTTGGACCAAAAGCTGGACAAAAGGGTCTTCACTAGGACATGGGACATGGAGAAGGGGTATTATATATGTACCCTCACTTTTTGGGTAATAATTTTTCCAAATGAAACACACGCAAAAATTATTAAGGGGGAAACGGCAAAGGCTGGCGACTGTGAAGCAAACGATTTGTAATTAACAAAATTGCCAAGCAGCCAAGAGAGAATCTTACCCTTTTGCATAACAATTGACAAAGCAGTCGATACACATATATATATATATATATATATTTATATGTATTTATATGTATTTATGTACATATATAGAAACAACAATAACAAACACTCGAAGGCAAAAGATGTGAAGCGCGTGAGGAGTTTTGGTTAGCAGATGAAGATGGAAGCATAAAATGCCAAAAGGAATTAAGGCAATGCCGCTGCTGTTGCTCCCTTTCTTGTCACTTTACATAGAGAGAAAAATTTTAAAAAATTAAAAATTAAATTGAAAATTAAAAATTGAATTTAAAATTTGAAATTCAAAATTAAAATTTAAAAATATATATAATAAAAAAAAACCCAGGGAGAAAATATAGTAAAAAAAAAATAAATAAATAAATAAAAAGTATACACTTTAAACAAATAAAAAGAAAACATGTTTATCTTAGGTTTTTCTTTAGTAAAAATCTCTTCTTTATTAAATCTTATTTAATTTCCTATATTTTTCTCTCCCTGTACTTATTCCACATGAGACCAAGGCACTGGCAAAGGGTTTTCCTTGGAGTTGGGGGTGTAAAAAAAGGGTTTAATCAGCGAACAGCAGCCTCACACACAAACACACAGAGACACCAATCTACAAATACAAATTAACAATAAGCAATCAAAGACACACACACACACACACACACTCAGAGGAGAAGCTCTTCAGGGCTTGCTTATAAAATAATTCAGCTTGTTTTATATTTTTTTTTTGTTTTTTTATTTGTGCAGACTTTTAGGCCGTCAGCTGCCAATGGCAAAGGCAAAAACCGTCAAAGGAATTAAAATTCATTCGGGCATAAAAATTTTAAAATATATATATGACTGGCAGGGGGGCTGAGTGGAGCGTTGATGGATAGAGATAGCGCACATATATATATATATATATATATAAAAAAGGGGTAACTTTTGCCAAGGCAGCCCCAGAGGCTGAGGCGTGGGCGGAGAAGGAGGAGTAGGAGGAGGAGGCTGACTCTAAAAGGGGGTTGACTCTCTGTTGTTAATTTCCAAAAAGCCAAAAGACAAATGAGTAAAAGGCAACACACTGGCCGAGAGGGGGAAGAAGCTACAGCTTCGTCTCAATGTCGTCAACTGTTGGTGTTTTTTTTTATATATAAAATGTTCCTTGCTGGATTTTATGTGATAATGCAGAGAGGAAAATGGGTTATAGCTTAGTTATAAGTTAGTTACGAGGGATTTCTAAAGACTTTTCCTAATTTTTTTTTATATTTTTAATTTATAACATTTTATAAATATTTATGCTATAAAACTAATTATATACATAATATAATTAATATTTAATACCCTAAAAATATTATTATTATTATTTTATTATTATTATTTTATTAATATTATTTATTATTTTTAAAAAGAGTTCCAACAGTTTTTTTATATTCTTCTCATATTTTGATTTTTTGTTAATTTTTAAAATTATTAAAAATATTTAAATTCCCTTAAAAAATGTTTTTGAAGTTTTTCCCTCAGTGCATATATCTTTGCTTGTATTATTTTGCTTTTGCTGCTGCTTGTCATTGATTTTTGATTGTTTCAAGTGTTTTCTGGCAAAGGAGTAGCTCGCGGGCGGCGCAGGCACAAGGCTGCTGTGAAGGCTGGTGTGATAAGGGGACATGGAGGAGGAATACAAGAAGGCGGAGGAGGTGGAGAAAGGAGACTTTAAAGTCTGCCAAGTGCACCCCAGAGCTTTGACGCCCCGGCCAAGACAAGGCTTTGTTTTCGCAGCCTGTTTCTCTCTCTCTCTGGCTGTTGCATTTTTTTGCAACTGGCAATGCCCAAGTTGGCAATTTGCAACAAAAGATAACAAAGAAGTGAAGCAAAAATAATACAAAAATAAAGGAAAAACAACAAACAATAAAAAAAATGGAAGCAAAAAATAATAAAAAAAAAAAAAAACAGTGGAGAAAGGCAAAACAAAAATACAAAGTCAAAACAAAGACACTCGCCTTAAAGGGGTCACATATGGAAGTAGCTTAAACTATATGAAAGGTTACTATTTTTTTAAGTTTTTTAATATTTTTCTTAACATCTT